GTATATATATATGCATGCCATGCCAACTTTTACTAAAGAACAAATGGAATAAAACCAAGTACAGAAAACCACCTCCCATATTGTCTCCCATATAATCTAATTTTCTTTTTTAATGGCTAATAAATTGTAGATTAAGTTTTTAATCTCTTATAATTAGGTAATTAAAATATATTTTTATACGAAAACGTAATAAATTTATTAAAATTTAATTTAATTTAATCACTGTAATTTTATTTAATATATTAAAATTTTAATTATAGGGTATAATAATTCAATTACCTATATAACTTATGATATACTTGTACAAGCATGTATATGTGCTGTTAATTGATTATACGTATAGAGGGTGTGTGTATATATAGATATATGTATATGTATGTATGTATATGGGGCTAATAAATAAAATGTGATGGGGTTGAAGGATAATTATGAGGAAAATGTATGAGTTGGTGTGTAGGGTCTCTATGTGGCAGGGGGGAGTCAGCTGGGCCAATCTTCTTTATTCTACTTGTCTCGGAAGACTCCAAAATATTGTGCACTTCATTCTGATTTTACTTCGAGGGAATATATACACAACAACTGGCCTACCTATTCCCACCATCTCCATCTCCATCTCCCTCTCTCTCTCTCTCTCTCTCTCTCTCTATATATATATATATATATATATGTTCAAGGGATATATGTATAGGTATATATGCACGTATACACATTTGTGTTCTATGTAATAATAACTGAGGTCGGAAAATTGGGTTGAGGTGATTTTTTTTTAATTTTATTTATATGTTTTTTAAATAATTAGTTTTATTAAATTTTTAAGAAAAAATAAATTATAAACGAAATTAAAAATAATTTTTTAAAAAATAATATAATTTTAAATACGAATATTATTTTTAAAAGAAAAATTAAAGAAAATAAGTTAAAAAATATTATAAAAAAAAGTTCTCTCAGTGAGATGGTCCAATCAGCAGCCTCGGCAAATCGACGCACGTCGCGTGGTAACTCCCTGCTGACATTAGCACCACACGGGAAGCCATGCGAGCGATCTGCGTGCCTAACAATCTGACAATCCAGATCTCATTCCACTCGAGTGAATAGTTCAGATGCGTTCTCTCTTTAAACCCGATCAGACAGATGAGATGGATCGGTCATCCTCGTTTCACGTCAACACAAACGGACGGCTCAAATTGAAGAGGAAATTTTATTTAAACTCCTCATCACAGGAGAACCTAACCTAGCCACCAGTCCCCGTTGAAGAAGAAGAACCAGATGCTGGAGAAGAAGATCGGCCCCTGGCTACCGCCGCACCGGAGCCACCATTGATCGCCAAAAAAGGTAATTTTTTCCTTTCCCACTCAAAATTCGATTCCGAGGTTCTCTCTGGCCATAT